ATATATATATATATATATATATATATATATATATATATATATATATATAGTTATTCCTGAAAAGCAGAGTTTATGCTACATTATAGTTACCTGCAATACCAAACTCAGATGTGGAAAAAAACCTCCACATTTACTCTGTTTCAGTTACAGTAGAATTTAATTTTATTGTAATAATAAAAACCAGCATGGCATGCCATAACCATTCGTCCATTCAGCATTGTTTGAAACACTTAAGCAATGGACAGAAGTAATACAACTCTTGCTTATCAGATCTAGAAACTCAAATGTTTTGCAATATTACTTCATTTATTGGTTTTAACATGAGTCAGGCATATTGGATTTTAAGGTGTTCTACAATGTAGGACATTTGTCTTTTCAAGCTACTATTCAAATTAAATGAATGGTTTAGGTGTTCAATGAAAAAACTAAATCAAATAGGACAACACTTTGTTTCCAAGCCAAATTACAACCAGTCCCAAATTTGATTATAGTTATAAACCCCATTCTCAAGTGGTGAAACAAATTCTATTTCAACAATATGATTTTAGACTTCTGTCGTCCGAATTATCTATACCATCTTGGTTACATCTACATATACAGGTTACTGTTTTGATAGCTTTGAATGTCAAAATATCAACTACACTGAGTATTTATGGTGTTTTACTTTACCTGATAGTATAAAGAAGATCCCGGAAACGAAGGCCAGAATGGTTCGCTGTGGCCGGATGTGCCCAATGTTGCTGATGACAAAGGCGGTGAAGACGAAGAGCAATGAGACCATGGGGAACGGAGTAGCAGTTCGGACCATTTCTTAAAGAAAGAAAAGCAAAGAGAAAAAGAACAAGCCAATTAATCTATGTAGAGAATGTGGATCAATGAAGCCTGAACTTCAGCTACACTCTTAGATCAAGTTTTTTTTTTTTTTTTTTTTTGGCCAGGATACTTTTTAAATTTACATCACATTTATTGACAAATGGCATATGTAGAGCGCAGTATTGAGAGAAGAAAAAGAAGAAAATGCATGTTTTGGATTTCTAATGTATGCCATCAGATATTATTCTGCCCCGGTAAATGTCAGCTGTCACTTTCTATTATTTTTGTGAGTCTCGCACAGAAAATATCTTAATTATTGTGCAAAATAGTGGTAATGGGGAAGGGGGGCTGTTTATTTTAATTGTTCAATTCATCAATGTAAACACAATCTGAAGCAGCTTATTCAAGGCTATGTTCATTATTTTTTCAGTATCTTCCACAGATCTAGCACACTGTTATGACTTGAGCTTTCACCTTAGGGTATTTATCTACCATTTAAAAGAGAGCACATCTTCCCTGTGGGTACATCCAACAAGGCGAGCCACATATCTAAGAGAAAGAACAAACTACATCAAGTGGAACATGTTTCAGGCCCGTTCTTGGTGTCAATTTTTAAATTATTGAAACAGCTTAGAGATAAAATAACTCCACTGGGAGCTTTTCTTAAACACACAGAATTGAGTTATCTCCCCACCAGAAGCTATTTCACACACAATGGTTACTTCAAAAACACATGCAATTATTCTAAAGGCTCTTCTGTTTTCCAGCATTTGAAATACTATTTTATTTTGTATGATATTCAAGCAATACAGTATGTCTAGCTCCTGCTAAATCTTTAGACTTTAAATTGCTTGTATCTTTAAGTTTCACATGTTACCAAGAAGATAATTTAGAGTAATCCCTAAACTTAATTAGCTCTGTTTGAGAGTGTCATTAAAGAAGTAAATTAAAATAAACTATGGATATAAGGTAAAAAAAATTAAAAAATAATCTGTTCTACGATTTCTGTTGTACGACAGAGTATCAGTGCCAGGCTAGAGTTTTTTTTTTACTTTGAGAATAAATTTGTTATATTACCAGAATAAAGTAGTAATATTACGAGAATGAAGTAGTTATTATACCACAACTCGTTTCAGAAAGAAAGCTTTGAGCTCCGACCAGCATAAGTTGTCCGACCAGCACACCAAACAGCAACCTGAGTCCATTTTGACATGCTACCTTATTTGTTGCTAGTGTGCTAAAATATTTCAGTATTTGTCAAACCAAAGCCAAAGTATAACTTCACATGATGCTTGACATTCCTTATTTAGTGAAGAAAGGACATCTTGTAGGAGTTGTCATAAAATACAACTTTTTTTCTTGTGATTTTAGGACTTGATTCTCTTAATATTACGAATTTATTCTCGTGATTTTATGACTATTATCACAATTATACAACTTTATTCTCATAATGTTACGACTTTATTCTCGTAATTTTACGACTTTATTTTCTCGTAATGTTACAACTTTATTTTCTCGTAATGTTACGGCTCTAGTAATTTTATGACTTTATTCTCATAATGCAATGATTTTAATCTCGAAACAGAAAACAAAAAATCTCTAGCATGGACCTAATATACCGTTGTACTGTTGAACCCAAACTATAAAGTGAATTAAAATTCCTGTCCTAATGTTCTAACCATAATTACAGTTATCTGATTTGCTTAAATTAGAAACAATGTGAAGTGGAACATAAAGCAGGAATAAACCATTGTAGATTTTGAACTCTGAGTAATAGGCTAATTAGCAAATATTTTAGGATCTCTATCCTTTAAGATGACAGGATGAAATATAACTTTGCATAAATATAGCCGCCAATGTCTGGTTGATGGAAACGTGTTGCCTACTATCCTCTATAAAATTTACCTGTAGCTCTATCCTATAGGTTATATCTATCTAAAATATTTGATCAACATAAAAAATAATAGGAAACATGTCAGAAAAGAAATAAAAATATTCTTGATGATCTTGTTAATGGCAGCATCAAGAATATTTAGTTTTTTTGATCTGGTGTTCATGAGGACCTAAATGCAGAGACATGGTGGCAGTTACAAACATGATATAATGAACAGAAAAGACCAGTTAGTTAGTTTTCACCAAAAGATGTGAAATACAGCATAAAATTGCATGTTTTTTTTCCCTTTTCATAAGGAAATTTGGAAATAAAGGGACATTTTTAAATAAATGTCTCAGAAAATTCTACAATAATAGATATTACAGCTGTCATATCATGCAGATATTAGTGTCAGATATAGATTAAAAGATCAAATGTGTTTATACTTACTTAGTATGTTGGCTGTGTTTTCTGTCGTGATCTCTATTTCTGGTTCAGTAAAATATTCTGATGCCACACATCTGCCTTTCTCAGGTCCTGAGAGAGAAGAGCAAATAAGTGTGAGACAAAAAATAAAAAATTCAAAGAGATGAGCGTAGAAACCGAGCTGGGAGCCTTATTGGGGTCTTTCTTTGGTACAAAAAGAATGCAAAAACATTAGCTTGCAGAAATCAAACCAGAAAGCACAAACTAAACAGTAACTAGAGACTGAAAAACACAGTCAAGGTCAGACGTTGAGGTGCAGGACTGAGCGACAGAGGAGCCAAAAGGAAGAGAAAGGAGCTTGAATGCAAACCACAAAGGACATGATAAAAAAAATAAAACTTACATGTGCAGAAAACAAAAGAATTAGAGACACAGACAGATGGAGGTCAGTCTAAGGAGAACACTGAACAGAGATATAGGAGGGCTGAATAAAGCCCCAAAAATTCACTTTAAACTGCCTATAAGCTGACGAAAACAAGAACACAGAAACGCGTCTTTTCACAAAGAAGCCAAATAAGTGATGCGTACATGTTAAGACAAATGTGAAATGGCTCCTCCCTCTCTCAACCACACGCCAACGCACGACTGGCCCTTCAAAATGCCATCAGCGTTTTCATCCTCTGACCTTTTGTACCAAGCATCAGAAACATGGTTTCCTCCCCAGAGCGACACCATCATGACCCAAAACACAGCGACAGCTACTGCAGAAAAAGGACAGTCATTTGTGACTGTCTGGCTATTTTGTGTGTCTACATGAAAACAATCATTTTCAGTTGCACCCACAATACCTCTTTTATAAACGAACCCAAATCTTTAATGGAAAATGGGGAAGCCCTTTTTAACAGACTCAGTTTGATACTGATCTATTAACTTAGTAATCTATTACATGTTATCAAGTTATTGATTTTAAGGCTAAATTGAAGATTTGACATCCAATTACTCTATTCTTGCTATGTTTATTTAAAAAAAATAAGAAGATTCAAACACAGCATTGCCTTCAGAGATGATACCCACATCTAGTTATCAAAATAACCAGAGGCTAGAGTCAGCCTTAAGTATTTTCTGCATGCAATCACACAACAACAACTTTGGCATATGAAATGTGCTGATTTAAATTCTAGCTCGTCTACATCAGTCCCACAATAACATGTTAAATTGTGCATAGCCTTGTTACTTGCCAAAAAAGATTGCTCCTTTGTTTTTTACTGTTTGGTGGCATCCTAATTGGGATACTGTAATACAGTTTATTTACAGGGACCAAGAAGATCGACCCATTGACGGGCATGGAGAAATGGTCTCACCGTTTCTAGACATAGTCCTTGACGTGATTTAGCTTTGAAATGTGGACCAGTTTGAATGCACCTTTTCCTCCTTTGTTTACCCTCTGTTGATTATAAGAGCCAATGTCACAAGTGAATTTCTCCATTTTGAAATCAAATACGTTATATTCAATTCTATTCTATGTAAAAAGCTGTTGCTTTATGCTTCTCTTCTTTTTTTCAAAACCAGTTTATACTGGTTAGGTATGTTCTGTTTGGGCCAAAATCTTCTTTGGGAGAAAAACTCCCGTGTCAATGAGTAAATAAACTCCTGTGAATTGGTTTCTGCTTATTGCCGGATGATCGTGGAGTTTAGGGTCTTCAATCCGTGAAGAAGGCGATAGAGACATAATGATCCCACCCAATATGATATTTTTAAGTTCTGTACAGTTTTTGAAAATAAATTAATTTGGACTTATGTGGATTTCATATACTTTGGTACGAATTGATCTTGTTTCTCCTTTGAATCTTACAAAAAGATGTGTAGTAAGAAACAAGCTGGGAATTGGATAAGCCAGTTTCTTTCTCTCAGTAATGATCCTTGCAGCAAAGAACTCTGCATGTTTTAGATCAAACTGATGGATCATTAGCAGGGCTGAGAATTTAATGACCTGTTGAGAAGGTAATTAATGTGTTTAAATTACATGCACTAGTGAACATACACCTCTAAATCATTCTGGACAGTTTACTTTGAATCCCACTTTAGATTAGTTATTTACTCTGCAGTGAACACCTATAAATAAGACAAAATAGTAAAGTGAGGAAGAATTCCAAATAAAAATGCATACAGGAAAAAAAAAGACAGTATTCTGTGGTTCCCCTTTCCTTGCAAACAGGATGATAGTTTTAGATATTATAAGTTGCATGCAGTCATTAACTGCTGTCTACTGGTAATGGTTGCAAACCTGCGACAAAACAGACTCTCCACAGGCCAGAATGAAGCGCCATTTTGACCTCCATGGTTTGGTTCTGCTGCAGAACGATTCCTTCCTCCATCAGCAGCCAGTAGTCTGTTGATACGGCCACGCCCACCAGCAGCAGCCCACTTGCTCCAAAGACAGACGAGAGAAGTGTGAGCGCTCTCGTACTGAACGAACTCATCTGTGGAGCAAAGAGAAAAGAATGGCTCATAATTGCACTGAATGTTTGGTCAGTTTCAGTAAATGTGACTCTATGGCTGCAAATAAAGCATCTAATAGGAATTAAAAAGTGGTAACATGTTTCATTTTGCAGATTTCGTACATTTGAAAGATTTTAAGATGTGAAATAGGTGAATAGAGAACTGCTTAACTGGTCGGGTGGAGCAACTGAACAGCTCATTTTCTAATGCAAACTGTTTTTTATATTTGTAGGTCTGTTCAAATTTAAATTCAGAAGAACTCCTAGTTAGAAGCAAAGCATAAAAATTCAATATTGCAGACTACATTAAGCATTCCACATGATCATTTAACCACGTTTAGTGTATTGCAGATATGTTCAGTTCAATAGTGCGTACCCTAAATAAACAGTTTGGGTTAAATTCATGCTTCTATCATCTGATGATATTATGAATCACCAGAAGAGAGGCTTTTTTTCAGGATTCCAGGCAGCATGTAGTGTAATTTGTCATTCACTAGGTGGCAGAAAAGATGCCTCTGTCATACTTTACTATGGCTGTTGACACTATGAGACATATTCTCTGCTCACGCACACTAACATTCATCCATTTACTCAAAATGGAGGTCTCTTCATCATACACTCAATCGTTTTGATGTAACAGATGTGATGGCTTCAACAATAAAAAAAAATAAAAAATGGAATATTGACCCAGAGCACAGATATGCTCTGACAGAACAAAATCTTTCTTGACATTTCGGTGTTAAATTATTTCATGAGTGCAGTATGTGGAAATAAATCAGTTATACTCTAAACTAACAGGCAGCTTGTTGTGGTTCTTTATAAAACTATGACGTCACTAAATCTGCAGGTCTAGTTACTGACAGAAAAAGGCAAACATTAAAACCAGAAACTATATTCTGCTGAGATGGTTTAAAGCTACAGGCTTAATGTGTGCATGTGAAAGTGCATAAGAAACAGCCTTTAAATCAAATGTATTCATACTCATGGTCACTAAACAATTACTATTTTACCTCTGGAAAGAAAAATAAATGCATATTATTAATATTGTGACAGGCTCTGCCTTTAGCATATTACACTATCTGAAATTTTAATGTGTAGTATACTGTTTTTAGAGTACTTAGCAGTCTAAGCTGTTTTTTTTGTTTTTATTACTTAAAAGTGATTCATAGCAGTCCTGATTTTAGTTTACGCCTCTTTAATAAGAAATTATTTATTATGAAGGTTTTATTCATGTCTTTAATGCCTCATTGGGCATTCAAAGGAGTTTAATGTCCATTTTAGGAAACCAAACTCTCAAGATTATGTACTGTATACATATTTTTATTATGACCCAACCTCTTTATTTTGCTTCCATTTGTCCGTACTACATTGTTTTTCTAAAAGTCTTTATAAAGCAATATGTTTCTGTTTTACTTTAGAGAAACTTTTTAATTCAACTCTTCCGGACAGTCTGAATTCTAATTACCATGAATGTACAATAAACATATTAACTAAGTTTATTATGGATATTTGTATGTTTTGACTTAGGAGTAAATTTCCTAAGAGTTCCTTGCCTCTCTGGCAACCGCTGATTGTCTAAAACGTTTCACACTTGTAAGTTTCATTCGCTGTAAATCGCTGCATAGAGTTAGACTGACTCTTCTGGTCTGCGCGTACTGAAAACAATTTTAACCAATCACAGCTGCTCCTCAGACCTATGTAACAAGATCCCTCATTGGTCATTTTGTTAACTAAGTGTGGCAGTCTAACCAGTGAAAGAGTTGAGCTGCTTTCCAGGGTGCTTTGAGTTCAGAAGGCTCACAGAAAAGGTAAATAGAGCAGATAAAGCCAAAACAAAAAGAAAATGCAATTTCAAAAAGGATTTCAGACAATTTACATGATTTGATAATCAAGAATCATAAACGATTCAATAGTAAATGTCTGACCTCAGACTACTGGCAAGTTTATTAAGTGGAAAATTTTGTTTGTTTTATTAGCTTCTGTCTATATGTACAAATTAATTTAAGTTATTTGGAACTGTAATCAGTCACTTTTTTGTGTGGTACAAGACTGGCTATTGTAAATATTTTCTGAAATTAATTTCTCTATCATTATGTTTACTAATTGTTAATTGTCTGAAATAAATTTTATTAATTCATCATTCATTCAAAATGCAAGTTAAAGAAGAAAATGGAAATGTAATAACTCTTTCTAAATGAGTGATTAGAAAAGGCATAATCAAATGTATGAATTTTGTTTTTTAAATCTTCCTTTAGAAAAAGGATTTGAAAACACATTTTCAAATTCTGGTATTTAATAATCAATTAATAAATATAACTTACAATCCCTCTTTAATAACCATTTTAAATTTTGCAATTACAAAATGATTTTCAATTTGGATTTCAAATTGCCTGATTTAAATGTTATATTTGAAATTGCCTCTTTTTCTTTTTCAGTAACTTTCTAAATCCTCCATATGCTTCTGCTGCTGTGATTGGCTAAAAGCTTAAAATGGGATTCAGGTGCCACGGGTGATTTGCAGTACCTAGAAAGGTGCTTTTCCCAATCAACTAAAAGAATTGAACTGAATGTCCCTCCCTTTTGAGAACACTTTCCACAGGAACCTTTCCAGATGTGTATTCTATAAATTTAAATTGAAATGACATATAACACTCTGGCTTCTGTCAAGTTTCTCAATAAGGCATTTTTTTTAAATGCAAAGTGTATTTATTTTTGGTACAGCTTGGCTTGATTGCTGCTCTGAGTGAGTTATCCTTTCAGAAAACAACATGTTTTAGTGACTGTATATTCCAGTCAACAATATTTTTTTTACAAAATCAGTTGAAAATGGTTTATTTATTAACTAATTACAATAAATCAAATCAATTGTTTCAGCCCTGATAATTCTCCTTAATATTCCAGAGTAAAATGAATGATGGTCACATGAGAGTGATAGAGCTCCATAAGAGAGGAAAATGGTGTTTTAACTAAGGTTCAGTTTGATGGTATGAGGCCCAAAGAGTAGCTTACATAAAGACTATGACCTTTAATGTGTGTGGGAAAGTCAGAAAATGTATTAAATCCAAGCCTTTACATAAGAAGTCTCTGGTGAGGGGAAGCCTTTCATTTCCCAAATGTATATTACAGTCCCTGACTTAGAGAGAGATTGGAAAGGTGAATGAATGGTAAAGGTCTGTGCTTATAGTACCTTTCCAAGCCAGGGGACTCCAAAGCACTTAACAATATATTCTGGTGCTTAGCAGTCTTATAGCCACAGCTGCCCTGGGAAACAATGACAGAAGGGAGACTGCTGGCCCCACTAGGCCCTTTGGCCGTAGACAATGTGGGTGCAGCACAGACTGGCTTAATTTGGATAGCAACCAGACATTTGCTTCACTTTCTGAAGATGTTTTCACATCTCTACAGGAATGAATGCCTCCTCCTTTCCTTATTTTATTTTTTTTTTTACAACTTTTGCCTTCCTTTTAACATCCGAAATAGTAATTTTTGTTCCACAAACCTTGAGTTTCATTGGGTTTTTTCAAGCTAAAAAGCCCAACCAACAGGTGACCATGCTGAACAACACCCTGGAGTACTTTTTTGATATCTCAAATGCATCTGGAGAT